TGACATATCGTTTTAATGAACAGAATGAAAAATAGAATATCAACTAAGTCTGACAAAGTTCTTGAATATTTTGTGATCATTACAAGTTCTCGTTGTTAGGAGCACTTAACGAAAAGAGCAGTTTCATCGATTCATTCGAAGCATGAGAACAAATGGTATTTGTCGTAGATTTGCTCAACTTTTAATACTATTTCTCACATTAGTTAATTATCGTCTAGCCAAATTAATAATATGACGGGTGAGTCGAAAGTTTTCGGACAAAATGTTTGGTCATTTTTCGCTCACTTAAAAATATTTCAGACGAGTTGAAACCTATGGATTAGAACCAGAATTTTGTGCTCTTTCAGAATATGGGCTTAGAAATTTTGGGTCAGTTTTTGTTCAAGAGCAGTGAATAAATCTTTGAAAGACCTTAAAAATTAATTTGGACGACGAAAACAGCTTTTTCCTAACCCATGTATATCCCTTTTCGAAGATGCTAAAAGTTATCGAACACGATAGTTTTGTAGAGCGAACATTTGTTTACGAAATGCGATATTGAATTAAGTTGTAGCTTTTACACAAATGAAGTTATATATATTTTGTCAGGAGCTTCTTTTTGTGGAAAACGCCTTTTGGTATAGGAAAAACGAAAATTGAGATGTCTTGCATAAAAACCGAAAAAACTTCAATAGTACATTTTGTAGGGCAGATTTGGCTCTACTAGCTAATAGAGTAATAAAGGTTTCAACTTTTAGTTTCGAATCGCAATAGTTAAAATATAAAAAAGTGCGAAAAAATTTCCTGTCCAAACTAATTTTTCCGGCCTTTCAAAGATTCCCTCACTACTCTCGAACAAAAACTGACACAAAATTTCTAAGTCCATATTCTGACAGAGCACAACATTTTGGTTATATTCCATAGGTTTCGACTCATCTGAAATATTTTCAAGTGGGCCAAACATGAGCAAGCATTTTGTCCGAAAACATTCGACTCACCCGTCATGTATTAACTTTTCAATCCTAGAAACGTTGTGTGCCACTCACACTACAAAAACATTATATGTGATTTAAAACTGATTGAATATGAATGTATAGAAACACTGTAACATCGAAAGCTGAAACTTTTGGGAATGACTAATAAAAATTGCTCAAATCTTCATGCCAAATAATTTGTTGCTTTCCCCATGAAATAAAATTAAGGAGTCCATTATCTCAGGTTACTTGTTTTCAATTTCCTAAAAGCAATTCAATGCCTATATTTCAACCATTGCCATTTGGACTGAGATTCCAAATATAGGATATGATAGAGCAAAATATCCTTTACAAAGCATACTAAATCACAAAACTTAAAGGAAATTTTTTTTTCTACATAAATGAAAATTAGAAGACAATATATGATCGAATTCGACAGGTCTTGTACACCAAGAATGTGCAATCAGATCTAGTTTTCGATCATCCCATAATTTAAAAAAATGAAGACCACAAATTTTAGTAATATTTTCAAAATTTTCAGTTTTTTCCTCACTTTTCGGAATCTGTAGCTAAATTTGTACACCGTATATTTCCTGAATGCCACAGTATTGTAAGCTAATTCTTTTTTACTATACACACAACTTATCACGTGCTACAAGATGAAGTATCTTCCCATTGATTTCACGAATTGAAGTGTTTTCGTGTAAGAAAACCGATGATGTTTACTCTCATCATATCAGAACAAACAAAATAGATTTTCATTATCAAATTAATATAAAATTATTCAAAAAAAAACCATAGAAATTACAAGAAGAACACTTTCTATTATGATTTGTATACTCAAGCCAAAGAAAACTGTATGAATGTATAAATTAAGATTATAAGAATTCTATATGGTTAAATTTTTAGAACTTCATACTATTGTAGTTGTCAAATACGAACTAATTTCTTTGCAAGTCGAAAGACTCTAGTTCTAGTTTCAACAAGCCTATATTTTCATTCAGATAATAGAAACACATATCTTCAAATAGTAAATGCCAATTAAAAAAAAACAACAGTGCTTTTAATCTTATGCATATCGTATTTTAAGATTTTTTTTTCGAGATAAAATCTTGTTTTATGTGTCATCGTAAAAAATTGCTGTAGAAATCTATTCTAAGAATAATCAGAAGTAAGTTATTACGTACAAATGAATGTAATGAATAAATAATACTACCAATACAACACGTTAATAATTTTGTGAACAACTTATATTTTGGCGCATCTCTTTTCATTTCTATATTTCTTCGCTGATTTAATATTGAAGGAATGCTTTTTATAAATATGATATTAATAATAATGTTCATACCTTTGTGTATTTCTGATACACCTTATCTTCTTCGTTCATATCCTAGTGATTCAATTGTTACAGACTCATCATTTACTAATGGACCATGTTTAGAACCGATCAACACATTATCATTTCTTCAAGGTACAGATGAAGCATCTTTGTATCATACTGAATGTTTATACAACTCAGACGAATCAATACTTACCTGTAAATTAGGTCTTAAAGATCCTAATTTATCACTTGATTTAGAACAATATCCACTTGAACAAATAAATGTAGTTATTATATTTGTTCAAGAATTTCCAGAGAAAAAAATCAGAAATCGTGTACTTGATCTATGTTTTTTAAATCGTTTTGGTAAATCATTAAGAGAGTTGTCTATTTGTGGTTATAAACCAGAAATAACTAAATCATCAAGTCATAGTTATTTGCATATACTCGATGTACCTGCATTAGCTGTAGTTGCATCTAACATACAAACATTACTTATTAGTGGTACGTTTATAGATTGAATTTTATAAATAATTCGTTGCACATTTGTTTTTCTGTTATTAAAGGTGTTAATATATGGCAAAGCGTTGAATTACGTCAATTTAAATCATTGAAACATTTACTTATATTACAAGGTCGTAAGTTCTATTTATCTAATGAATTATTATTTTATTTATAATTTCATATATACTTTATTTTGTAAAAGGTACTATTCAAATGAAATTTTATCATACTCCACATTGTGCTGATTGTGAAGGTGCACATCCAACAGCAGAATTTTCATTTCATTATCTTATACCATTATCATCCCAATTAACTTATTTTCTTTATGATTCTTCTTATAGATATAAACCATGCACACATGATTTACTTAAAAAAATTAAATCAAGTAGTTCAACTATTTCAACATTTATTGTAGCATCACAAGAATTTCAAAATGATGAAAATAAACCAATATGTCAAACATGTGCAAGTGGTTTATGTCCTTTATTATCTGTATGTCTTGATGAAAATTCAACAGATCGTCGAAAAAAAGATGAACCATTTGAATGTTTATGTGTTGAAGAATTAGAAGTTGAAGATGAATTTCAATCTTGTGATCCAATGACAATTCATCCACCAATATATTCAACAAGATGCAATCATACTCCGTCATTTTGGAATTATATAACTCTACCAATGATTATTTTAGCAGTGTATATTTTACTTTCAATTATTGTTTTTATTATTTCAACAATTTTTCTTATTAAATCAAATTCATAATAAAAAGAAAAAATAACAATTTTTCTTCACATGTGGATTTTTTTTGTTCTTTTTTTAAATTCTATTTACTAAAGATATTTGATCATAATAGTTCAATGTAATACCAATCATATGCTTGAATAAATATCTTGCCGATTTCCTGTTTTACGTGCTCTCGTATTAATTTGATTTGCTTGCAAGTAGTAATAACTATATAGATTGTTACTTGCATGCCACTCAACATTTATATACTTTGATTATGACTTCCTTGTTTTGCTTGTTTGCCTGCTAGCGCCCCTATGGATTTATTTGCTTACTAAATTGGTTACTGCTTTCAGTCATCTTATTTCAAAAAAAAAGAAAGAAAGAATTCATTAGAATCCCTTCTATTAGTGCCTTGCAGCGTTCTCCCTTCATTTCTATCATCGTCTCCTTTCTCTTCTTCTCTCCTTATGTGTCGTCGTGCCCAACTATCGTCACAGCTCGCGACAACCGCAAATTAGACTCGCTTAATCAGAACGTGCATGCGCAATGTATAAGAAGGACCTAGTTATACGTTGCATGGTCTCTCTCTCTCTCTCTCTTTCTATCTTATTGGCAACATTAAAAGAGAATCAAAAAAAAGAAAGAAAGAACGTATTTCTAGATGGTGGCGACCATCTTCTCGTTTCTAACATGTACTTCTCATCATCAGTATTGCGGTTAGATGCCTTAGGGAAATGCTTTGTTAAGTTAAAAAAGAAGAAATCAAGAGAACGGAAAGAAAGAAAATAAAGCAAAAAAAATTAGCCGTGTGAATAGAATCATATCATTTTGAATAAAATAACGGCTATCAAGGAAAATGTTCGCTGTTCCTGAAGTCGACGACGACATTGAAATTTCCACTTCGGTAGGAACTACGAAGCCGTTTACACAACCCGAAGCGATAATAGAATCTCCGTCACAGCCGCCGCAAGCTTCATTAGTTGAAAAGGTAGAAAAAAATCCTATTAAAATGCAAATTCCTCAATCAGTGTCAGCGTCAGTATCTTCTAAACAACATCGTTCTCGTCGAAGTCTTTTACATCGAAATACAATTCACATATGTGATCAAATTGTCGACCGAATGTAAGATATATTTTCTTTTTAGTCTTTTTTTTTTCTTTCTAATACTGGTATTTTATTTCATGATATATGTCTGTGCGGGTCAGTGCGTATGCAAACAAACCAAGAATAAGAACGAGTTTATAATAGATACAGTCTGAGGCATCATCACCAATGGTTGCTTGTGTCTTCTGAAGCGAGAGCGAATTAGTTAGTTAGATACGAGAAATAGCCTTACTGTCACAAGACTATACACTAAATGTCATACGTTGCATTAAAAAGAAAGAAAAAAGTTTCTTCTATCTGTCACCAGTTGTCATGAACCTCTTATATTTATATATATATATATAAAGATATATATATATATGCTTACATGCATAGTGGGTGCGCTTTCTTGATCTATGATTGTAACGGTAAATGTGTCGAGAGGAGCTGCCATCGTTACTTTTGGTAACATAATACGTACTGGTAAAGAAAATGTCTCCTATTTCCTTTTCCTCGTCGCTCGGTGATGGATGACCGGAAACAGTTGTTGCTAGTTGTGTGACATTCGATAAATCTTGTGCTTGAATGATGTTGTAATCAAATACACATACTCATAAGTCTAACCTATGCATGTAACATGCAAAGATGAAAAGATGAAAAGACATTGCTTAGAGACTCAAGAGAAAAAAAGACGTAGTACAGGTACTATCTCTTGTGTATATGTGTATATATAAATATATATATGCATACATGCAACAGCAGAAAATAGAGATTGAGATTGTCTATCATACATGCGTATTCTAATAAACTATCTTGTTGGTTTACACCATCTGTTCATAATAGTCAAATAGAAGATGAATTCAGCTTGCAGAATAAAAGTTCTACACCACAGAAAACTTTCGTTAAGAGTAACGTATGATGTAAATATATAAGCACTTCTGGCAATCGTATACATTTTGTACATTGAAATGAACGACTAATAATCGTAATTCAAATTGAATAAACAGAAAAAATCACAAAACCATCCATTTGGAATGCAACAGAGACAGATTACATCAATATTATGTGTATAACCATTTGTTCGTCTGTACAGTCTGAATTGTTTCCATTTTTTTCTCTCTCTATATCTATCTCTATTTTCTTGTTATCAAATTGATCGAAGAAAACTATGTATAATTCTTCACAAGTGACCATTGATCTATTTATTATCCTGATCACTACTGCTAGGGAGAAAATCATTATAAACTATGAGGAAATTCATCTAAAGCATTTTTCGCTTTGTTTTTCCGAAAATGTTTGCAAGATTCGTTGACAGGTAAGAACAAAAGATAATTATTTATTTTTAATATTTAATTATTCCACATGTATATATTGCCTACTAGATTTTATTCGTAGTCGTTTTACCACCATTATCAATAATCCATTCTTTTTTTTTATTGTTACATAGTAAAAATATAGAGAGAAAAAAATACACAAAAAAAAACAATAAAATAACAAATAACTAACATACACATAGATATATTAAATTACAAGCATAGAACGAACGAAAGGTTTTTTTTTTCACCATATTTTGATCGATAACAAAACAACACCATTTCATGCATCTAATCAACACACGATGCATATTTTTTCTTTTTGCATTACCGCTTTTAACGTTCTTTAGACAAGAACATTATACACATTTTTGTTACTTTTTTTATTCTAGTCACAACATTTTATTAAAAGAAACAAAATACTATTTTCCACGCTCGTTTTTTTTTATCATGAGTTCTCATCTTTCGTTTGTATTTTTATATTTTGCAGCCCAGAATAATATCTATATTCTCTATTGCTCGAACCTATTAAACAATAACAAAAAAAAATGGACCATAAAAAAAAAATCATTTGCATATTGTCGTGCTGGTATTTGACAGCAGCTGTAGGATAATAGACGATAGAAAAAAAACGACAAAATGGAGAAATTATTTATTTGTTTTTTTGATTTAACCTTCCATAATATTTCATTGTATGCTCTTATTTAAATATTATCTGTGTATCTCTAGTAGCATAAAATTTGACAGCATGTTAATTCCTTAGAGATCCTTTTTTTCTTTATTGAGAAAATAATGTCTTTCTGTTTTGAATAGAATGATATATTGATCTATCTATCTATCTATATATATATTCGTCTGACCTTGATCATCATCATTTGGAAGTCGACAACCTGATATATATATGCACATAACCTTGGCATTCCATTAGAGATGAAGTTGATGGGTATGAGAAAAAAGAAGACATCATACTATTGCTCTAATTATGATTCCTATGACTGTATCATAAACAAATCGTTTTTCTTATAAAAGCATAAGATCTTGTTTTGAGTAAGTGTCAACAAAAAAAAAAAAGAATGATTTTATATCTGACATATAGTTAATCGATTAGTGAACAACATCTATTGTTGTTTGCTTATTAATCTTCATCATCATGTCAGAACTGATTCATATGTTTTCTGCATTTTTACTTAATATTCCTGCTTGTTTTCTCCAGACAAACATATCGCAAACAAATGTACAATAGCTTTGCTGATGTCGTGATACAGTCTTTCTTTTTTCTTCCTACTCTCATGGATGTTTTTGTGGTTGTTTTTCTTGATGACGACTAACAAGAAAAGCTAGATAAAAAGAACAGCTTGCCATTATTTCGATGCACCATTGATGCGCTTTGCCTTGTTTATTTGTATCGATAATAAAAAAAAAAAGCGAAGAAAAACCAAATAGCAGTAGTTATACGAGTGATATACATCGATGGATGCCTAAGAAATGCAAGTAAGCAGGTAATAGGAAACGAACATATCAGACAGTGATTTCCTGCTGAGAAATCGTGTCAATAGACTAATGTCATTTATTCTGAATAATTAAATAGACGTATATGTCTCCCATCATCTAAATAGATGAGTGACACCTTTATCAAAAGCTTTTTTTAGTTGAATAGGCAAATTAAACAAATAAAACTCTTTATTGACACTCTCAGTATGGTTACTCAGTTAGAGAAGAAAAAGACGTCAATGATGATCATTAATGCTCTTATCTCTTTATATCTTACCGCTGTATGTTTCACACAAACGAAAAAAAAAAGAAGGAAAAAAAATAATAATGTAATTTGAATATTTTTTTTCCATTTCTTCTTTTTCTCACCCTTACCGCAAACATACTTACACAAATACATATATAAAACGAGTCTGTGAAATAAAAAAACGAAGCCTAAAGTAGAAGAACGCAAAACACAGTGGGAGGACATGTGTTCGAATCAATAGAGAGAAAAAAAAAAAGGAACAAGAAAAGCAATATTTTCTCTTCTGTCTTCTTTACACCATCATATTTATTTTGTGCAATCTATATTTCACGTGTGCCATGTCGTCCAAAGCAAAAACTGCGGCTACAGAAGAAACTAAAAAAACTAAAAAACAATCATCGAAAAAAAAAGAGAAAACCGCTACAAAGGAAACAAAATTATCACAATCTGCTATTCCATCATCTTCCCTTTCTAATTCTAGTACCTCACAACAACAACATCATTCGGCTCCACCATCACAAACTCAACAGCCAAAAACAGGCTTACAGTCTATTAATGAAAATGTAGAATATTTACCTATCAGTGGTACTAACAAACAACAACAACAACAACAGCTACAACAACAAAAACAAAGTGTAATCAATTCTCGTTTTCCTCGTTCGAATACAGTTCCTTATCCAGCATACGCAACATTTAGAAAAGGTGCTGGAAATAGTCTTCCTTCACATTATTATTATACTGATTATCCAACAGCTTTTCACGGAACCGTTTCACCTGCACAAGCAAATACATATTATAATACACGACAACCACTTTCATCAATAAATACTAATTTTCAACCGATATCACCTCATCATCAACAATACGGTAATCGACCTGTTGATGTTCTTAAACCAACATTT